AAGTCTCACTCAAAGGCCTGAGAGAAAAAGTGGGTCTTTAAAAAAGGGTTTTAAAAGAGCTGAGTGTAGGGGCCTGTCTGATAGAAAGGGGGAGGGCATTCCACAGTTTCATCAAGAGTAAAATGTAGTAACCCAAACTTGACAAGCAGGGGGCACAAAAGACCCCATTTTATCTGATCTGATCCCATTGGGGAAAACATCTTGTGTCGCACAACATTTTACTTAGAGGAAAAACAAGACATTTTTCTAAGAGTCAAAGCTAACTACTGGCTCTTTAAACACGTAAAGTAGAAACAGTTTGACCAATCCTGGCAAAGATTAGACACTGAGGGGAATACAAAGGATGAACAAAAGGGATAGACTCTTTTGTTATGAGATGGTGAGATAATGGATTCTCCTGTATGTGCCATAAACAGGCGTCTTTAAACCCCAGACAGGGTTTAGCCGTGCCAAAATATGTGTACATGTCAACTGCGTTGTGATGGCAAATATCAGAGCGGAGACGCGCACAATTCGGCACAATTCTGCACAATTCTGCACAATTCTCTGCAATGTCCCTCAGTATGATAGTCCAGAGAAAAAAAGCATGTAAAAGCATAAAAAAGCTTTCAGTACTTACACTTGCAGCTCCAAATTTCAGTCATAAGAGAAGCCCTGCTTCACTTTTGTGATAAAAAAAATAAAAAAAGCATCCAGAAAGTGGAACAAAGGGGCCAGACTGTTTTTCTTGAACCCTACGGCCTCTCAGGGGTCTCATTTGGCCGGCCGACGGCGATAAAAGGTCATTATCTCTGACCATAGAAACGTAAGAAACAGCACACGCATGGCGGAGGACAACAGTGGAAGGGAGCCAAGAGCCAAGAGGAAAGCCGGCGGACACTTCCACCTCAACCCAGAGAGGGTATTGTTCTCCCACTTGCAGGTGGGCTTCCCACCGATAGCGAATCCAGTTAACGGTCAGATTTTCCAAAGGATACATATGTGAGGAATGCTCAGGTCATGGTAAGGCCAGGCGCTCAGAAAAAGTCAAGATCATTTTTTTACTTTGCATTTCCAGCTATGGTACCCATGAGAAAGAAACAGAAACTTGAATTGCTTATAGAGGAGGAGGCGGAGCTCTTTAGAACATTTAAAAAGATCAATAATGATTTCACATCGCAACATAAATGAGCTGTATGCATTGATAAGTTAAAGGGGTTTATATATGTGCGCAACCAAGTAAATTTCTCCATGTGAGATCATTAAAGCTTTCATCAATCAATCAATAAATCAACCAGTTTAGCTTTAATCTGTCCAAATGGTAATGAAAATGGTGGTTTAGCTGGTTGCAACATTGTGGAATTAATTATGATAAGCATCCAAAAGTAGACTTAGAGACAAAGCAAAAATATTGTCTCTTTCTGTCACCAATACTGGAACTTTTAACTTTTATTTGAACAATAAATTAGCTGTATGCACTGATAAGTTAAAGGGGTTTATATACATTATATATACGTGCACAACCAGGTTAATTTCTCCATGTGAGATCATTAAAGTAGTAAAAAATCAATCAATTAATCAACCAGTTTAGCTTTAATCTGTCCAAATAGTAATGAAAATGGTGGTTTAGGTGGTTGCAACATTGTGAAATTAATTATGATAAGCCTCCAAAAGTAGACTTAGAGACAAAGCAAAAATATTGGCTCTTTCTGTTACCAGTCCTGGAACTTTGAACTTTTATTTGAATTGGAAGCAAAGCATCAATCAGTTTTAGCGAAGAAGAAACTTAACCGAGAAAAAAAAAGAGTCCTTTGCAAGAATAGGAATTTAAAGGAAATGAAGAGACAGTGTTGGAGATGCTGGGAGAGTTAGTTTCCTGGAAAGGGGTCTCAAACAGAAAGTCATGCATCCCTGGAGTTCTGTTAGCAGTCATGTGACCTACAGCCTGCTTCTTACAGCCGGGCCTCTGATCTGACAGACTCAAGTGCTTTATTTGGGATTTTAAATCGAGTAGGAGAAAGCTTTAACTGAAACCTGCAGCTTTGTGGGTGCAGTGGGACTTGGCTAGAGGCCCTATGACTAAAACTCTAGTTGGGATGACTAAATCCAGCATGCCTTCCTTATAAGGTGTTCCCCACCATTGTGTCCCGGGGGGAGCTTGTTTGGTACCACGGCCACTTAATAAAAACCACCAAATGCATCTTTTTTTTTTGTACACCATTTACAAAAAAACCAAAACACACTCATGACTCACTGACAGGAAAGCCAAATATCCGAGTGAGTCACTCTCCCGTTTGGCTTTTCCCACTATTTTGTCTCCCAGGGCGATGGGATATAGAGGTTTATCGTAAAAAGAACGTATAATTAAAAGAATTAGACAAGCTAAATGAATCCATTGGTCGGCTCTAAGCATGATAAGACAGTTCTGAGCATCATGGCAGAGATCTTACCCGGCCTTGGTACCTCATCGTGACCCGGGGAGAGGGCAGAAGTGGTTCCCCCTCAGATTTGGGTCCTCCTCCTTCTTCTTCTTCTTCTTCTGTTTCAAAACCGACTTCACAGCTTTAGCTGGACCTTTCGCCCATGAGGAAAAGCAGCAAACGGCAAACCGTCTCCTCTCCTCTCAGCTCCGTCTGCCTCTCCCTCGTCCGTCCTCCCCCCTCTCGCCCGACTCACTCTGTGAGGACAAAACACACACACACACACACACTCAGACACACACACTCAGGCCCAAAAACACTTGAAGCTCTGCTTGTTTACACCTTCAGACTGCCTTGCCCATGACCGGTCAAAGTAAATGACCGCCTCTGCGTGAGTCCCCTTTTTTTTATCCTCTAAACTAAAACTGCAAGACGCCTGGGAAGGAACTCCACACACACTCACACACACACACACACACACGAACACACACACACACACGTCACACTTAAGAAAAAAAAGAACAAGAAAAAAAAGGCAAAGGGAAAATATGCCGTGAAAAAAAAACAAAAAGAGCTGGGTGAGTCTGGAAAAAAATACTAATATCCCCCTAAGAAAAAAACCGCTAAGATATAATCACTGTGCAGCTTCACAAAAGAAAGAAGAACTCACATGATGAGAGTTCACATTCTTCTTTCTTTCTTTCTTTCTTTTTTTAATCCTCCCTGTTTACTTCCCTCCCTCCCTCCCTCCCTCCCTTTTTTTTTCTCCCACAAGCTGCAACAGATTCACATGGGATGGGAGTTTATGTGACGCCATAACTTACACCACCGTAGAAATATGAATCTGCAGATGTGAAGTTTCTGTTGCACATCTGTTTGGTTTCCGTGGCAACAGCCATAAATCTTTGACATAGTCATTTAGAGCGTGTGTGTATGTGTGTGTGTGTGGATTATCAGATTCCTCTCTCATTATGTTCCTTCCCATTTTGGCTGGCAGTTCTGGGAGTGCTATTAAGGCCACTAAAAGAGAACAGCACCCTCCTCTGGTTTCCCTCTCCTCATCTTTCCCCCCTCGCTTCATTTCGTTTCGTTTAGCCTCGATCACTCGCTTTTTTCCCTTCGTCAGCATCGTCATCGATCCAGCGCAGAGGAATCTGAACAACGTTACCCAGGACGGAGAACTCACCCCCTTTTTTGGGTCTTTTTTTGTCTCCCTCTCCGGCCGGACTTTCCCTACCGGGGCCGAGCTTATGCAATAAAGGCGTAAAAAAAACAAAAGAGGAAAGAACAAAAAGCGGCTTGTTTATTTGAATTCTTTAAAAAAAAGGCAGAAACTTTTGTCTTTACATTCCAAATCCAAGTCGCTGATCCCTTTGTTTATCGGTCTTGTCACTTAATTCCTTCACAAAAGTCGACCATATCAGAATTTGATGTTTTATCAGAATCAGAATCAGGATAAGGTTTATTGCCAAGTACGTTTTTACACTTACAAGGAATTTGCCTTGGTGTTTGGTGCACAACACAACACTTCTATGAGAAGCAAGAAATAAAATGTAGAGATAAAAATATAGGACAGAAATGATAAAACTGAAAAATACAACCCAAGAAAGCTAAAAAAAGAAAAAAGGGATCAAGAAATATTCTTAATAAGATATTCAGTGACAGGTGACATTTACAGTGCAGCTTTTTGTTTTTAAAGCTCAAAAAGTAGCATAAAAAACTCTGGAATTCTCCAAAACAGAGTCTATTGTTAGGAGTCACATATCAGCGAGGAGGCTTTCATCGGTTAATTAGATGCTCCGTGGTACTGGCTCAAACCCCAGTTTCCTCCCAAGATTAGGCCTTTATCGTGGACCTGGAACTATTGTAGCTGCTCTAAAAATAAATCAGGTTTGGGAAAGACTCTTGGCGAGCACTTGTTAGTAGAAGGTGTAATATAATGAAAGTGGGAACCGGGAGAGAGCTCTCTTCCATCTGTAGTTTATCTGATCTTTATACGTACATTTTGTTTTTAGAAAAACCAGAAAAGAGGCTAAAGTTTCTCCTCACCTAAGAGGTGTTATAGTCTAAACTGAGTTGTTTTCCAGTCACTGTTCCTACCTTTGTCAAGCACTTCCTGTGGGGAAGATTTCCTTCCTATATGTTTCCTGGTGTTTGGGATCTTCCTTTAAGAAAAGATTCATATCTGATTCTAGCCTGAACCACATCTTTCTAGATTTTCCTTTAATGTTTGATGAAGAACAGACGGACTGAGGGACTCAGTTTAAATGATCCCCGGTTTTTCTGGCCTTCTCAAAATATCCGTAAACAAACTTTGTCAAAGCCTGACTTGTTGAAAAAAAATGGCAAACTATCTGAAATATGCCTCTGCCTTTGGGTTTGATTTGTTGTCTTGTATTTCGGCAACAACACTCTGCCTGATTTCAATTTCAGATAATCAGGTCATAAATCCCTAAACTAATTCCGAGCAGCTGACACATCATGGAGGAAATCCAGACCCAAGCTAGCTTATTTTGAATTCATATTGAAGACATCATCCCATTCGATTTCCATAACAGATCAGCGAGGAATTGTGACTTATTCGGGTGTGGCGGAACTTTCTCTTTCTTTGCTTTGTTCCAGTTTTTACACACCCATATACATTTAACTTAAACTTCCTGACTGTCTATGTTGCATTTATCTGCATTTAACTGCAGCTTAAAGACTTTATGGTGTTAATTCTCAGTGAAATATGCTTTAACTTGACTAACTTTAATGGGTAGAGGACATTTCCTGGCTAACGTCTCTTTCTGCCTAACATCTCTTAGCACCCATCTGTTGTCTCTCTCACCCTGTTCTAACCTCACCCCCCAGATACCCGTTACACCACACAGGCCGCTTCTCATAAGTTGAAGTACTTGTAAAACCAAACCCCCGTGAATCGACAAAAATGCAGAAATCCAATCGTTTAAATGGAAAAGAAAATAAGAAGAGCCGACAAGCGGAGAAAAATAGTCAAAGAGTCACTAATGATGATAAAGATTAATGTAAAAATGAGGTTTGACTTCAGTAATGTGTGTTCCTGTGCGTGTTTATGGGGATCTGACATGCATGAGCTGGTTCTCTGGGCTGTTCTGGATAATA